GCTTGGCTTCTGAGATCCGATGACATCAGGCTAAACCCAGGGCCATCCAGGACGGGGCACCTGACCAGATTAGACCAGTTTTATACCACTTTGACACTCATAGCGCCCCTTTAAAAAATCTTGTTTTGATTTTGCTCTGAGTGCTAAGAAGTCTACTTGACAGTCCAATGCTCCCTCTAAGCTGTGGAGTCCTACTTTGTGACCTACTGGCCATTAAAGTTGTGAGTGAATGATATGGCTACTGCATAAATTAGTTTGCTCTGGAGCCATCCTTCCTGAGCTAAGACAAAAATGTGTTAGCTGGAGGCTAAAAAAACTGTGAGCTAGCTCACATTAACTCAGCTGAGAGGGCACACTGCTTGACACCCCCTAAGGGAAATAGAATTCCCGGGCTCTACAGGGGAAATGGATGGCTAAGTCCAGTCCACTGAAGCCTGTGGAGCAGATCTGCTGAGATTTCCCTTCCAATAGGAAATCCAAGGAGCTAATGTTCTAAAGAGGGATTCTAGGAAATGGATGTCGAGATCATACTCGGCGGCTTTTTCTTAGAACTCTTCGCCCTCACATCTGATGTGAGGAGGTGGAATTCTAGTTGTAGGTCAACCACAGCACCGGAGCCTTGTAGAAAAGGTTAGAGCATAGAAGGACCGAATCACATGAGATGGTGAAGACCACTGCTTTAGGGAAGCCTGTTATTAAATGATGTGGGGTGGCGGTGGAAGGCATCGAGTCGGCTGTAATTGAGCTGGCTTGAAATAATAAATATGCGCGCTCTCTTTAAACACGGCTCGCCACATCCTGAGAATCTGGAATCAATTCCTCCTCTTTCAAGATGCTTGAAGTTGTAGGGACTTTGATATGGCACAAATGTGTCTGCTTCTGGGCTTACTGCCTTAGGTACCCTGTTCCAAATCTTTCAACTCATATATATATATAGCTGGCTAAAGAGAAGAGGAAAAGGGACTGAATCCCAGGGAACGATTACATGAATTACCCTACATCTGTAGCGACACTTGGCCAGAGGCCAGCGAACCTATAAGGTTATCATCACGACCACAGAACACAGAGGCATGCAGACAGAGGGGATGTGCAAGGTGATATTGCATGCATAGCCCTCACTTTGGGTTGCCAACCTGATCTCCAAACTACAGAGTTGGGCTTCCAGGTCCCCCAGGGGGGCGGGGGGTTGCCCGCTCTAAGGGCCCCCAACCCACTGGCCCAGATCCAGCTGCCGGGGGGGGGATTCTGCCCCCAAAGTACCTGAATCGGGCCGACATGCCCGAAATGATGACGTCACCCGGAGGTGACGTAATTGCGCCGGGCACATCGTCAGGGGACGCTCTAGCATTCGACCTGAAAACTCTATGGTACCATAGAGTTTTAAGCCCGAACACTAGAACGTCCCTCGACGACATGCCCGGCATGATGATGTCACTTCTGTGCACGCAAGGCTCCCAGACACACAGCCTTCCCCCCCCCCCCAGAGGTGACGTCATCACGCCGGGCACATCGTCGGGGGACGCTCTAGTTTTCAACCTTAAAACTCTATGGTATGCTAGAGTGTCCCTCGACAACACACATGATGACGCAAGGCTCCCGGACACACAGATTAATAATGCAACAAGGAAATAAAAATCACAGATATTTTCCCTTGTGAGATTTTGGGCCCAACTTAAATGTGCAGGCAAAAGAGAAGTGACCGTGTGAGATCAGTGCCGCATGTGCTTCGGGTCTCATGCCCTCATAGTTTATGCATTCTGCAGTGGCAAGCTAGCTCAGTACCACCACCACCCCTGGCTACAGACCCCTGGCAAGCTAATGCTGCAGATGTGGGCAAGATGCCCCCATTTAAATGACCATGTGTGATATGGCATGCCTCAGTTCTTGCTCATCAGGGATCACATGGAAGTAGCTGACATAAGGAACCAGCAACAAACAACAATACATAAACACAATTACAGTTGTTAAGTTCGACTCAGTTTGGTGTTGAGAGCTGGTTTGGTGCTGAGAGCCAGTTTGGTGTAGTGATTAAGTGTGCGGACTCTCTGAGAGAACTGGGTTTGATTCCCCACTCCTCCACTTGCAGCTGCTGGATGACCTTGGGCAAGCCATAGTTCTGTCAGAGCTGTTCTTGAAAGAGCAGTTCTCAAAAGAGCTCTCTCAGCCCCACCTACCTCACAGGGTGTCTGTTGTGGGGAGGAGAAGGGAAAGGAGTTTGTAAGCCACTCTGAGACTCCGAGTGAAGGGCGGGGTACAAATCCAATCTCCTCTTCTTCTCTTCTTATTAATAAACAATACACATTTGCATATCTTAGTACAAATCACTTTACAGTGAATAACAACACTCTCTGTCAGAATAGAAACAACAACTGAACAAGGGAGAGATAAAAATGTCCAGTGAAACTTTCCAAATCTGTATAGATAGATCACGACGAGGTCCTGGATGTATTACGTCCCCTGCTGCATTCTAAAAAACACCTCTTTCCACAAGTAGAAATACTGCTAAGCTTCTACACGTCAGTTCATTCTAATGGGAAGCCACCAGAAGTTTTTACAAGATGGGCGTGTAGCTAAATGTTTTTAATAGGAGGATAAACCTGCAATCAAAGTGAAAGCTGCTAGTAAACAACTGTAATTGTGCATACACACACACACACAATAGCCTTTTTTGGCATTTTGCACTAAGAAGTATACAAGACATAAGGAGTACTCAGTACAGTTAACACATAACTCGCTTTTTAGAAGCCAAATATATAAAAGTTGCTACTATTTCAATAGTTACAGAGTTTTTTGAGGAAAGAAGAAAAAAGGACTTATAATTATCAGATTGGCCTATTAAATCCATTAACAACCGATCTAAATACTTAACACGAATGTCAGCATAATAATCACAATACAAAAGAACATGCTCAATACATTCTACTTCCTTTCTTCCACAATCACATAGCCTCTGTGCATAAGGAAATGTCCCTTGAAGTACTGCAGAGGGCAATACATTAAAATGAGCTAACTTATAAGCTCTATGAATACATGGATCATTGAGGGAGCAAACACACAGAGATATCTCACATGGAAGTAGACATTTAAAGGGGGGGGTTGGGGGGGGATGATTGTCGCTCCCTGCTGGTCATGGAGGAAAAGGAGGAAACTTTATAAAGGAGGAAACTTGAGTATTCAGACTGAGATTCTAAATTGCATAAGTAGGGTTGCCACCTCTGGGCTGGAAAATTCCTGGAGATTTGGGGGTGGAGCCTGGGGAGAGTCGGGTTTGGGGAGGGGAGGGACCTCAGTGGCATATCAAGCCATAGAGTCCACCCCCCCAAACAGCCCTTCTCCTCCAGGGGAACTGATCTCTGTAGTCTGGAGATTAGTTGTAATTCTGGGAGATCTCCAGCCACCACCTGGAGGATGGCAACCCTAGGATGGATCCTCGGGGGAATGGGGTTTGGGGAGCAGAGGGACCTAGCACAATATGATACCGTAGAGCCCTCCCTCCAAAGCGGCCTCCTCTCCAGTGAACAAAGATCCATTGCAAAACTCTGAATATTTAACTATTTTTACCAGTTTTCCAACATATCCTGGTAGCAGAGGATGGTCGCCTGATCTTTGCCTGCTATGCTAAAGTAAAGTAACCTTTCGAATGCTCACTGGATCGAGACAGAGGCTAATTAGCAAGGCTGTGGGGCTTGATTTTTCAAACGACATGCTTTTTTTTTCTCTGCAAGTTTTTTTTTCCTGCTCTCCCTGCTGAGCATACTGCAGCTGTGAAAAGGTGACGACCCAGATTCACGTGTGATTTGTGGATCTCCCTACGCCAGCGGGGATTAGTCAACTACAGCACCCCACTCTGCTTAAAGGACCTTATGCCTTTTTAAAAATGTTTTAAAATGATCGGGAAAAGCATGTACAGGAGAAATTCTTGTGGGGCTGTGTCTTTAAGAAAGGGGGCGGAGCCCCTCAAAGCCCCACCGTAGCTATGGGCCTGGATGGATCACAGGACCACACCCAGTACATGTGTGCTACAGTGTAAGACTCCTGGACATGCAGCCATTTCTTTGCCCTCCGAAGTGTGGAGCTGGTGCTCACGTTGGTATAAATCTAACGCCAAGAGACACAGACGAAATTCCTCAGAGGGCAGCAGTGTTGGCCGGCAGCAGGAGAGCTTAGAGACCAACAAGGCTTTCCGGGTATGAGCTTTGGAGAGTCAAATCCCGAAAATCTTGTTGGTCTCTAAGGTGCTCCTAGAGTTGAATCTAGACAAAATGCTTGAAGAAGAAGAGAAGAAGAGACTGGATTTATACCCCGCCCTTCACTACCCAAAGGAGTCTCAGAGCGGCTTACAAACTCCTTTCCCTTCCCCTCCCCACAACAGACACCCTGTGAGGTGGGTGGGGCTGAGAGAGCTCTGACAGAAACTGCTCTTTTTTCAAGAACAGCTCTTATCAGAACTACAGCTTGCCCAAGGTCATCCAGCCAGGTGCAAGTGGAGGAGTGGGGAATCAAACCCGGTTCTCCCAGATTAGAGTCTGCGCATTTAACCACTACCAGGGATCATTTCGTAGAAAAAGAGGTGCAGGAGCCCATTAGCATAACTCATTAGCATAACTTATTTGCATAGGCCACACCCCCTGACATCATCGGAAGTGTGTCAGAAGGCAACACCCACCGCTCAGGCTCCACTGGACTCTTTTGGATTGCTAGCTATTGGGGGGGGGACATGCAGATCTGTCCTCGGGGAGGAGGGAGAGCTTGTACCTGAATAAAACTTGGTTTTAAAGGTGCCACTGGACTGTTTTGGGCTGGGGGGAGGGCTCTGCAACTTACCTGGCTGCTTCTTGCTCTGACTGAGGGCTGCTGGGAGCAGGGGGTGGGGCTTGTTGAATGTGCCCACCTCCTGGGCTCTTTACTGCCGAAGCTCCAGTCCGGTGCGCTCCTGCAGGAAATGACCCCTGACCACTACACCAAACCCACCGCCCACTGCCCCACTCCCTGGAACTCACTGGCATTGTCCTGTTGCTTGGTATTTTTTATATACGCCGAGAATTTGGAGAAGATATCGATCCCCGCAGTGTTGGATTCACGGTGCTTGGCCACCAGCTTTGGATACCTGCAAAAAAAGCAAAGAGTGCTCTAAAAAAAAATGCCCCCAGGGAAAATTAAAGTTGGGGAAGATAGACAGAGATCTATAGACACACACACATTACTAAACACACATTTCTGCTCCCTGGAAGTGCCATTTTGTCCTGTGCAGCACCAGTCTTGTCGACCACTTCGTGTGTGTGCGCGTGCATGTGCATGTGCTTTTGAAAACAGTCACTTATCTCAGCTTGTGAGCCAGCCCGGCAAGACTCCATTGAGTCTCACCGCTGCCAAGGAGAGCCAAGTCTTTCCAAAGTCACACACTGATGGTTTTATGACAAGGTTAATTGCACCAGGCGCTTAATGTGACGGGAACAGCAGCCATCCATCAGAAGAAGCCATTTGTTTTCAAAAGGTGTGGAGGAGTCTTGGCAGCCAGCCGCCCCCTCTCTCTAATGACAAGTGGCCCTGTGCTTAATTCCCTCCAGGGAAAAACGATCCAAAATATAATGGCAATTTTTTTTCCTGGTATGACAATAGGTAGAGCGGGCTGGGGTGGGAAGCATGGGCACACTTAAGAAGGCGTGTGATGCAAAAGCCGTGCGGAGCGCTGAAATGCAACAAAAGGCTGACGCCGGCTGCTCGGCAGGGCCCCGTGGCTGGCTGAAAGGTTCCTGTGGTTTTCTGTGGGCTGTGCATCAGAACCAAAAGGAACAGCCAAATATCTCTAGCAATAATCTGTGCCTTGCAGATTTCCAGCCGAGACATAGTAAAGGTAAAGTTTTCTCTTGCTCGAAAGCCAGTCGAATCCGACTCTAGGGGGGGCAGTGCTCGTCTCCGTTTCCAAGCCGAAGAGCCAGCGCTGCCCAAAGATGTTTCCATGGTCATGTGGCCGGCATGACTAAACGCCGAGGCGCACAGAACGCTGTTACCTTCCCACCCAAGTGGTACCTATTTATCTACCTGCAGTTTCTTGCTTTCGAACCGCTAGGTTGGCAGAAGCTGGGGCCAGAGACCGGAGCTCACTCCGTCACGTGGCACTCGGGTCTCCAACTGCCGAGCTACCGACCTTCCGGTCTGCGGCTCAGCGTCTTAACCTCTGAGCCACCGCGGCTCCTGTAGCTGAGATTTAGGGGCTTGCTAAACCTGCTGCTTTTGCTTCTTGAAGTTGCCAAATGGTGTGCGCGCGTGTGTGCGCGCATGAGCATATGCAAGAGCACCCAACATCTGGAAACACCTGGTGGGACGGGCGCGGCTTAGTGGGTCCCGTGTTGGGGACTGGCCTGCTGTAGAAGGCAAAGCATGCAAGTCATATTTTTTTAATGTTGGCGCTATGTGGTGGTGGTGATGGAAAGTGCTGTCAGGTTGCAGCTGACTCACGGCAACCCCCATCAGGATTTCAAGGCAAGAGGTGAGCAGAGGTGGTTTGCCCATGGCCTGCCTCTGCATAACGACCCTGGGCTTCCTTGGTGGCCTCCCATCCAAGTACCAACCCAGGCTGATCCTACTTCCAATATCTGGGGTGAGACCAGGAAGAAGCCAGCTGTGGTGGGGAGGAAGAGCCTCCTCAGCCAGCCAACCAGCATGCGCTGGAAGGAGGCGGAACAGGAAGATACACTCACAGGTGCTGAGGAGACTGACCTGCCTCCCAAGGGTGACTCTTTTTCAGGGGAGGGAAGGAAGTGCCCATGGAGCACGTGTCATCTGGACGGCTGCTTTTAAAAGCGGGTGGGAAGAGGCCAATGAGACATGTGGGTGGCTTTTTCCTAAATCCTGGGAGATTTAGGTGACATAGAACTCCTTTCCCTCTCAAGTCCAAGGACAAGGGAGGATGCGGGGACACCCTGTGGGCAGAAAGGGGCAAGGGCGCACAACCGTATACTGCAGCAAAACAATATGAGCTTTCGTGTGCATACATCAAATAGCAGTAGAAAATTTCGGGTCCAGTGGCACCTTTAAGACCAACAAAAGTTTATTTGAGGTAGGAGCTTTCGTGTGCATACATCAAATAGCAGTAGAACAAATTTCGGGTCCAGTGGCACCTTTAAGACCAACAAAGGTTTATTTGAGGTATGAGCTTTCATGTGCATACATCAAATAGCAGTAGAACAAATTTCGGGTCCAGTGGCACCTTTTAAGACCAACAAAGGTTTATTCGAGGTATGAGCTTTCGTATGCATACGTCAAACACAAATTTTTCAAATGTATCTGGAAAAGTGTGCGTGCACACAAAAGCTCATACCTTGAATACATCTTTGTTGGTCTTAAAGGTGCTGCTCAACTCAAAATTTGTTCAACAAATCATGTTTACTTGTGTTGGGATTTGGTCTAGAGGAGAAGAAGAGGAGGAGGAAGAGACTGGGTTTATACTCCACCGTTCACTCAGAGTCTCAGAGCGGCTTACAAACTGCTTTCCCTTCTCCTCCTCGCAACAGACACCCTGTGAGGTGGGTGGGGCTGAGAGAGCTTTTGACAGAAACTGCTCTTTTTTCAAGGACAGCTCTTATCAGAACTACGACTTGCCCAAGGTCATCCAGCCAGGTGCAAGTGGAGGAGTGGGGAATCAAACCCGGTTCTCCCAGATTAGAGTCCACACACTTAACCACTATACCAAAGGGAGCATGCATTCCAGTTAGGACAATGTCCCTCCTAATAGCCAGAGATGGATGAACTAGCAATCCTGCAGTGCCTGGGGAAGGGTGAGGCCCAGTGCCTGGGACTAATTTGAAATAGTGATTTCTAGGCTGGGAGACAGAACTGGTAGTCCCCAGCAGAGGCTCCGATGACGCCCAGATCTTGGGTTGAGGAAGGGGGAAGGGGCAGGGAAGTCCAGGTAATCACCACGCTCATGTGACTGACTTGCTATGCGCAAGCTAAGGGGGACATCTGCCACCAACGTGTAACTGTGGGCTCACTGGTAGAACACCTGATTTGCATGCGGAAGGTTCCAGCCAGGTTCAATCTCTGGCATCTCAGGTTGCAAAGTATCTCAAGTGACAGGTGCTGGGAAAGAGCATGCTCCGCCCGGAGTCACTGCCAGAGTAGAGGAGGCAGAGCTACCAGGACCAGTTGTCTGAGGTGGGCGGCACTTGCAAATCAAAAAATCCACAAGACAAGGAACCTGGGGCTAAAGTAGATGTTTCTGCAAACTCGGGCAAAGCCCCATGTTTACCAATACATATGAACAGTTAAAGAGTTTTGTGTATGTGTGTGTAGGTATGTAAAGGACTGTTAAGTCACAGCCGACTTATGGTGACCCCCACAGGGTTTTCATAGAATCATAGAGTTGGAAGGGACCTCCAGGGTCATCTAGTCCAACCCCCTGCACAATGCAGGAAATTTACAAATACTGTTGGGTATTACAAGTTGAAAACACTCAGTATATCTTGGGGTTAAATGTTTGTTTATGTTACTCACAGGAAGTCACATGTTTCTCATGTAACCAATGTTCTTTAGATGTAGGATGCCCGGGAATTTTCTCCCTGATCCAGGAATTTGATTGGGACTAAAGTGTCAAGGTATATTACCATTTTATGGCTTCTCTTCCCGTCTTTGTTTGGTGTTCTGAAGAAGAAGAGTAGCCATACTCTCCCTCTTCTAGTTTTGTCTTTATAGAGTAAGGATGTAGCCGATTATGCTCTGTTGTTATTTTCATCCCAGTTACCCTTCCCATGCTAGAATTTAGTAAAAACTTTATATTTTAATCACACATGGAGTCTCAGTCTGAATTATTTTACTCTGGCTCTGCTGGACCATCTTATCTCTGCTAAATACCAATTTTTCAATATCTCACTATCACCCAACAAATACCTCCCCCTTCACACCCGCAGTGACCAATGTTCCATGCCCAGAATATGACAAAAAGAAACCCTCCAGGATTGCTTCCTGACCCCAAGGCAAGTAATTAAGCAGAGGTGGTTTGCCATTACCTACCTCCGTAAAGTTTTCCTTGGTGGCCTCCCGTCCAAGTACCGACCCTGCTTAGCTTCTGAGATCTGACAAGGTTGGGCCATACTATACCAATCCACATCCCTGAAGAATTGTGGGGGTAAAAAATTCCACCAAAGAGTGGTAGTGTCCTTGGTGCATATACAGCCAGTGCTGGCTCAGGGGACACACATTTCAGGTGGCCCTAGGGAGGCCAAGCTCACGGCAACAAGGGCCAGGTCTTTTTCTGTGGCGGCTCCTACCTGGTGGAATGAGCTCCCAGAGGAGATCAGGGCCCTGCAGGACCTTATGCAGTTCCGCAGGGCCTGCAAGACGGAGCTCTTCCGCCAGGCCTATGAGTAGGAGCCGCCACGACCACTGCCACCACCGCTTCTTTATTGGGGTAACATCTTCCATCACCCAGTCTCCCCCCTGTGCGTAAGATGTCGGGTTTATTTATGCATCTGTTCGAATTGATTTTAACTTGTTTTAATCTTGTATTTATATTTGGACTTTGTACATTGAATGCACTTTGTGCCTATGTGAGCCGCCCTGAGCCCGTTCGCGGGGAGGGCGGGGTATAAATGTCAATAAATAAATAAATAAATAAATAAATAAATAAGGCAGAGATAATAAGTAGGTAGTTTGGGGGCAGGAAGCACATGGAAAGAAACACTGTAGGGGCTGCCAGGGAGAGGGAAGGAAAGGTGGCAAGGGGAGGGGATGAAGAAAATAGCAAGGGGGTGGGGGAACGGCCAGGGGGAGAAAAGAGCAGGTAGGCAGTTGGGTGAGGAGACAGGGAAGGAAAATACTGGGAAGGTGGCTGACCTGTCACGGGGGTGTGTGTGTGGGGGGGAATAAAAGAGTCTGCATGGAGGAGGACAGGGAGCCAAAGTGGAGAGAGGAAAATAGTTGGGCAAGCAGGACACAGCATGAAGGGAGATGTGGGGAGGGAGAACGGGATTTCCTTTCCCCTATGAGGTCCTTGCTGGTCCCCAGCTTCCATTCATATAATATTCTCAACAACAAAAAATGAATAACAAATAAGCTGTAGATAATGCAAAAAGTGCTTATAGGCTGCGGTCACACGGAGCATTAGCCACGCTACTGAGACGGATGATAGGCGGATTTTCCGGGTGCAATCACACCGCAACATCTGGGAAGCGTAGAGCTCCCATGGCGAACCCGAGGCTTCCTGCCGAAGATGCGGAGTTAAAAACTAGTACCTCCGAGGTACTAGTTTCCGGAAACCGTGGGGCAAGGGCTAGCGTCTGATCACGTTTCCGGTGGTAGTCCGTGGCATCCGGCGCCCACCCATGTCCCATCGCAAATATTTTTTCCCCCTAAGTCTCCACAGGATGCGCACAAGCACCCAACGCGTTGCACATGCGCATGAAGAGGAAAGCGAAAGTTCCATTGCTCCGCAAAATCATGCATGCCGTTGGTGAGATCGCGCCGCGCCACTTCTTTGCCGTCTACTTCTTTGCCGTGCTGCAGGATCGCCACCTCGCCCCTACCCACGGGACCTCGACGGGACCTGTGATCGGGCTGCCGCGCGTTATTTTGCTCCTGGCCAAACTGCCACACTTCCCCCCCACATTTTACAGCCCATGTGACTGGGACCATAATCTTACAAAATTACAGAAATTCATAGAATCAAAGCATATAATCCAATCTTTTACGTAATTCCAATTCCAGATGGACGAAATTCGCCGGAGTTAAACTTTCGTTTCGTAAGAAGAACTTCTTCCAAACATCAAAATCTCAGCAGTTGCCTCTTCTCATTCCATGGTTAAATCCATTACAATTCATCAGTTTCCTGAAGGGTAGAACATATTCTTGCAAGACTAAGTCTTTCCAAATAACGGGCTAACAAGTTCAGTATCAAGCTCAGTATCATTATCTACAGCTTATTTGTTATTCATTATTTGTTGTTGACTATATGAGCTGTACCCCCCCCCTTTGCATGTTGGTTCATATAATATTCTCAGCATAAGCAAATCCAGTTCTGCTTTCTGTATGGACATCACATTCATTTCCCATGGCTAGATCTCCTTTCCACGTTTTGTCTGGCATCACAGTATTATTCTAAGACAATCTTTCCAAAATCATAATGCTTACTTTGGAGGTGAAAGGATCTCCTCTAAGAATTCCTCAATTTTGTTGATATCTGTCTTGACTTCTCCATTGAAAGTCAGAAAGGGTGGGTGGGTCCCAGGAGCCAAATTATGTAAATCTGCTGGCTTTCTGCAGAAATAAGAAAAAAAATGTTGCTGTTTTAAAACCCGTAATCGTATATGTGATTAGTGGTCACTTAACTCCATTGGTTTTGCAAAGTTTACAAAGTCAGTTGTGATTTTTATTTCATGTAGTATATTTCAAATTAGCCTGGTTTAATAACAAAAGGGTATTGTTCTATGAATAGTATAAGAAAATTAAGATTCTCAAGAGGATATTCCAGTCACATGTTGTACAGCAAAGTGGGTTAGATCCAACTAAAAGAACAAGAGTAGGTTTTTATACCCTACCTTTTTCTACCTTAAGGATGCTCAAAGCAGCTTACGATTCCCTTTCCTTCCTCTCCCCATAACAGGCACCTTGTGAGGCAGGTGGGGCTGAGAGAACTGTGAGAGAACTGTGACTGGCCCAAGGTCACCCAGCGAGCTTCATGTGGAGTGGAGGAAGAAGAAGAGTAGGTTTTTATAACCTGCTCTTCTCTACCTTAAGGATTCTCAAAATGGCTTACAATCGCCTTCCCTTCCTCTCCCCACAAGAGGCACCATGGGAGGCAGGCAGGAGGGACTGAGAGAGTTCTAAGAGAACTGTGACTGACCCATGGTCATCCATCAGGCTTCATGTGGAGGAGGGGAGAATCAAACTTTTTTTGAGTGAAAAAGCTGGCTGGATCCCACACATTATTTAAGAGCAATCTTAAGCAGGTCTACTTGGATAGAAGTACCGTGTCATTCAGTGGGGCTTGCTCCCAGAAAAGTTCCCCTAGGCCTGCAGCCTGTTTTCCCCATTTGCAACAATGCTGGAGTCGACAAAGACCAAAATTATGAGCACAGCTTTATCTATGAAATAATTTTTTTTTACCTTTTCAGGTCAACTGTGGTAACATTGAACACAACCCCTTTAAGCCACAGAATCATGAAGAGACGCTGTGAGAAAGGACAGTTCCCAATGCTTTCTCCATCTACACCAGCCTAGAAAGAAAAAGAAATGGTCATCTTGGTGTCCAGCACCTATTCCATGTCACATCTCCTGACTAGGGTGTGATGGATTCCCTGAGGTTGAGACAACACCTCACAGGATTTTTCTGGTCACAGTTTCCCTCCCCCCCCCCTGCACCAGCGTTCCCAGTAGGGTTTTTAAAAAGGTTTGAGGGGTTAGAATTTGGCTCTGCGTATAAACCCTCTCAAGCCCAGATCCATAACTGAGGGAACCAAGGGAAAGCTGACAGAAACAAGATGGTTTCTTTTAAAGTGCACAAGAACAAAAGTTGATTCAGAAGGAAACAGACACCTGAGGTGAATATTAACAATCAATAAAGTGTTGTCAAAAATTAGCTTTTAAACAGTACGTGCCCAACAAAACACTCTCTCAGGGGGGTTCCTGAAATTAAAAAAAAATTAAAAATTTTTTTAAAAAACCCATAACATTGGTCCCGATCACACTGCTCTTAAGCCGCACGATGGGCAAGAATGCCGGGTGGATTTTAAGGGCGCAATCGCATGGGAACATCTGGCAAGTGTCCCGCACCTGTCGGCAACCTGTCTTGCACCACCGAAGAAGCAGAGTTAAAAAATACCGGGGAAAGTGCAGTAGCAAATGGGTTTGCAAAGGGCCACAGACGGACTTCCCTGTGTGATCGCTCTAGCGCGCTTCCCTTGCATCAGTGATCCCTCATTGAAGCGCATCGGAAACACATGACGAAGAAAAAAACCTGATGCACCCACCATTGCATCTGATCGCGCAGTGGTGGGTCAAATTACTACAGAGAAAATAGCCTAGCTTCCCCCCGCGTTATCTGGCACGTGTGACCGCACTCATTGGGTGCGTTCAGATGGGGCATTTAAGCCGGTATAGAAGCTGGTTAGAAACGGAGTACTTACACGCGATCACATGCACAACATCTGCCTTCCGTCCCTAACCGTTGCCAATCGTCGCAAACACCCCTTAAACCGGTGTAGTTTGCCAAGTGGTGTTATCCTGAGTGCTCCGGTTCTAGCTGCTTCCCCCCCCCCCCCTCTGACACCCCTCCACAAGCCCCCCTTCCGCTGGAACCCCGAGGCTTCCGTTTTTCCCCCGCCATTTTTTTTTTAGCCTCAGCGATATGCGCTTGGGCGAAGCTTCGCCCCAGCATTAATAAAGCAAAACAAAAAAAAGTGATTAGTTTTAGGCTTTGGACGAGTCCGGGACCTCATGGAGGCCTTTTTTGCTGTAAAATTTTAAAGGGCAGTGTTTCTTCACGGCATGCTTTTCAGGACAGGGTGTTCTGCGCCTGCGTGAAGATCTCAATTCTGTGGATGGCTGCCTATGCGCATGTGCAAAATGTAAAATAATTTTTTTTAAACGCCGATGCGCGTGTACAGGTCACACCGCTGCCATCATGTACAGGTATTTCCCACCCAGGCCAGTCCAGGAATGGGAGGGAACCCTGTACTTTTACAATACATTAAACAACAAACCCAGAGGTAGGCTATACCCTCTCAGGTTTCAGAACAATATGCCACCAGAACCTCTACATTAGTCCCCCCCAACCTGAGATTAGAGGTTCAAACTCTCAGTTGGTATCTGGAACTTAACACATTAGCATCTCACTCCCAGAGATGCACACTTTTTACTCTCCAATAGTAGCGTATATGGTGAGCGTTTAGACCACAAGATTTAGCCTTGGAATTCAGGTACAACATCAAAGACAATTTTAACAATCAGAGGAATCTTTATTTAGTACAGAGTTTAGCACAGACTACCAGAGTTTACCAAAATAACAAACCTAAGGCGATTTGCCTTAACTACACAGTAAAAGATACATATTTACCAAGTTCAGGAATATCCAAACAGTCCAAGGGATTTTGAAGGAAAAATCAATCTTTGCTCAACCATGTGGTCTAATTCACAAAGCAGTTCTTTGTCCCTCACGAGACGGCATTTCTAGGTGTCATAAAACAAGCAGAGAGAGTAGGAGCAGAGAGCAAGCTAAGAGAGAGTCTCTCTCATTGGGATCAAACAATTATAGCCCAATTCCAGTCATGATCAGCTGTGGCCATGCAGCCAACCACGAGTGGGCATGGGTGTGTCCAATTGTTGGTTGCCATAGCTGCAACACAGGAATGGCTAGAAGTTTGGAGGCCCCTCCTGCAGTCAGGTGACCCAACTTCCAGCTTCTCCATGATGTACATGACATGGCCCATGTAGCCTTAAAGCAGGTGCCTTGAAGTCTAGCTCTTCCACTTAGAGGTGTGAAAGAATGTGTGGTTATATGGCATGGTTATAAAGTTTCTCTGGCCAAATTGTCGGCGAGAGGAAATAAGACACAGCATGTTATCAGAATGTAATCACAGGAGAAGGCATGGATTTTTAGAAATCAATATCTCTATACAGTGCGCTGCTGCACGCCTAGTGTGGACGCCCAGAAGTGATGTGTTGCGCGGTGAGGGAGGTGAGTGTGACCGCCCTTGCCCCGGATCAAATTAGTCCACTTGGAACCGGAGCCGTTTAAACCGCTCCCGGCAGGCCGTCTGACCGCACCCATTATGTGGCAACTAAGGTTCACCCCAGATCCAGCAAACCCTGCTGGAATACTGTAACATCTCAGGGCCAAACTAGACGCGATGGTGTCCTCACAGCCACCACAAGGAAACCACTGCCATTTTAAAGTGTGGCAGGCGGAGGGTCTCCATGCCTTATCAAATATTAAAATGGCCACACTGCCTTGGCAGCTGTTTCAGCACTTGAAAAGGTGGGGGGGGGACAAAAGAGCCACACTGTGGGCCCAATCAAGATCACTTTAAAATGACGATGGCGTCCTCATGGCAGCCACAATGACACTGTCACATCCCATTTGATCCTCAGTTCCCCAGACAGGGGAACTTAATCAAAGATCTGATCTCTCCATAGATCTTCCAATTTATGCTTCTGTTAAACTGACCCTTCTCCCTCAGTCACAGTTTCTAGTCCCTGTCCCCACACCCTCAAAATTTAACTGACTAACCTTCCCCCTGCCAGATTTTAAC